CACACACACACACACACACACACACACACACACACACACACACACACGGCAGAAAAGACAAAATGAGACGAAAAGAGATGCCCCAAGTCAGAGAATCATGGGGCCCTTTAGGTGTTTAGGACCCGGGAGAGCTGTTAGTGGGATGAATCATGCTGAAAAGCACTGTGGGCCTCAAACAGCCGAGCGCATTGCGGCAGAGGCAGACAATACGAAGGCCAACTCTTCACTCATAATGAGAGACATCAGAACGCTTTTACAGCCATCTCCACGCTGGCAGCCGGCTCCCACAACGAGCGTAAATACCACGGAGATCGAAGGATGAGTCACAAAGCGTACAACAATATCCTGTCTGTTCGGATAGTCTATCAGACAGGCTCAAGCGAACCAGAGAAACAAACACACGGCGTCCGACTCGAACCGTCCAAGATCTAGATTAAAAACACCAATCACTGACTGACACCGGCCTCGATAAACAACATCGTGCCTTTTCTGTGTATCCATCCTTCACCATCTGACAGGTCGACCTTCGAAGTGAACTTTAAATGTCTCATCTATCCAGCTGCTAAGAGCAGAGCATCAGCGCACGCTCTGGCAGAGGTCTAGTTGAACTCACAAGCATGTGTCCGCATCCAGAGAGTTCATCTTGGGGTACCAGCAGTAGTCGTAGATGGTGTCTCCCTCTGCCATCCTCAGCACTGGACTCTGCCACAGAATGAAAGAAAGGAAAGAAAACCATCAGGAACGTAAAGACTGAAACACACACACGCAGTGTAATCAAACTGTAAAGACCGATGGGATCTAACAGTTCTGATGCTGGTACTGAACAGGTGGCTACAACGGCTTTTCCTCGTAGTAACATTCAAAAGCCAGCGGCAGCATGTGAGAAATAAAGCAATAAAAGCTCAGTTTTCTGCCCTTTTTAACAAGCGGTGAGAGATCTCTGTAATGGGGGGAAAATGGATTATATTTCAATTATTTTTGTTCAGTGATCCAAATCTACCAGCCTGTAATACAATTAAGAGACTGGCTCGCCACTTCACATTTCCTAAAACCTAAAGGACAGAATGTCTTTCCTATTCCGTTAGATCTTAAGTGATCTTCTTAAACGGCTGCCTTACATTGCTTTACAGGTTTTTTCTTAGTTTATTGTGACACAACACACCGTCAGTCTTTGTACAACACACGACAGGTTGATGACCTCTCCTTGACTGGAAATGTAGACCGTTTAAAAGACATGTGAAATATCTCATAAACGTGATTAAAGAACATCTACAGTGGTGCAGAACAGGGACGTCACGATAACAGAAATGAGTCAAAACCAAGACCAGTGAAATTCTTAATACTCAACGGTAAATACAAAAATTAAATCTGTTTTAAAATATATTTTAGTATCCAAGTGTATATAAATATGTTAAGAAGTTAAATATGTCATCGTTCCCTCTCTCATATTTATTTCATATCGCTATTAACTAAATTTCAGTCACACTAACGATGTGTGAATTTTCATTGATGTACTGGGGTCAGTAAAACTAAAGTACATTGTGTGTTTGCTAAATAACATAAACTGGAACTAAACGTTGAGGCACTAGAGAAACTTTCAATTTTATTTCAAAATGTTGGTTCATTCTATCGAGGTAAAACCTTTCTTTATTATAATGTAATTTAAAACGGTGCAATCCGTGATTGGGAGCACTTTGATTGCCTATCAACGTCTCTCAACATGTCGATGACGAGCCGGTGGCTCATAGCTAACGTTGCTAACGGTGCTAACTACGAGGAAAGTTCGGACAGAGCTGACAGTGTTTACCTGAGGTGGGTGCTACGCTTCCGCAACAACACTCCCTGTTTGTTTGTTTTACTCCTTCACAAGGAGTATATCTTACAAGCGTCAGAGGTTTTTATCTCCAAATGAATCTGAAGGACGTCTCAGAGATATTGTTGGCTAATGTTGACTAAAAACAAAAAAGGGGGCAAATGCTAACTTAGGTCATCGACGAACAAAGTAATGGTAAATTATAAAAAGGTCCAGAAACGTTCCGTCTACACAGTGGTGTAATGACCCTTCTTTCTTTTATAGTTTCCTTGCATCCACACAAACATTAAGCGATCCGTGTGCTCACCATCTCAGGGAGCGAGTCCCAGTTGTAGCTGTATATCTCTGGAGGGAGGTTGTACACACGCAGCACATTGTCTGCACTGTTGGTCAGGATACAGGAACCATCAGGAGCCCTAGTTTAGAAGAGTAGGAATGATGAGAAAAAGATGGTGTGAACTGAGCACAACATGCACACAGGTTTGTTTTATGCATCTATGAAGGTGCTTTTTATTGCATTTTTAAGCATAAATGTCAATGTCGATTGACATATTGATTTTATCTTGGCCATGAGATTAAGACAGTTTGTTACTAGTAACCTCACTTATACCAAATGTGCTGTCTGCAATATTGTTCCCACTATAGCCTGAGAATGACAAACGGGGTGAAAGTCTTTTCCCAGCTTCATTTGCACAGAAAGGAGGACACTAATATCTGCTCATGATATCTGCTCCTGGACACAATATTAGAGACTTTAGCTGTTAGCTCTGTTATAAGCAATGCTGTGCTCGGGAGCACCAAATGTTTTTAAGGTTGCTCCTCCATTGCTTATTTTGACATTGAAACTTTATCTTTTTTACTCAAACTAAACTTCAACATCATGGACATGTGTGTGTCTGTGCTGCTGTGTGCCAATGTGAAACAATCATGCGGTGGCAACACCCGTGTAAATTTGGCAACAAATGGAAATATGAGAAATATGATCTGCATGTCACTGGTCATGGCCGAATTGCTGAATCTTTTGCTGATCAATTGGTGCATCGCTTCACAAAATGTACTAATGTCATGATCTCATTTTTTTTATGGTAATCATACAAATGATGACTCATAAATTCTATAATGACGACGTACATGTTCTATACTTAGCAGCTTCTAAACCTAGTCCACATGGTAGGTGTCATGTTAATTCTTGAGATTACCATTTGCAGCCTTTGAGGTAATTCTCTGGAAAGTTGGAGTACTCAGTCCAGGAACCAGTCAGCATCTGGGGGTTCTGGGTAAAATCTAGGCCAAGGCTGGAGGCAAGACAGAGAGAAAAGCAACTCTTCAGTGAATGAGTTTAACAGACAGCAACATCACACACCAAACTGAAAGATTACATTTTCCATCTTACTAATGACAAGGGCAGGAAGTTACCAGAATGAATGCAACCACAACCTTGACTCGTACTCCTGCTCAGAATTATTTTAGTTAAGTTAAATATTATTCCTAGCCCGGGACGAAACTGTTGCAGTATATATAAAAACACGGTGTCAAATTGCACAAAGCAAATCAAGCAGACAGTGTCACCACACAGTGGAGAGGGTTGTTAATTACATTTCACCCATCTACAGCTTTATTCCACCATTTTCCATCCCATTAAATCCTCTCTAAATGTTGCTATTGGGATGACTGGTAGTGGTAAATATTATATATTATTTATATATTTATCAGTTAATGCTGCGGTGCATTTTGATGCCACACTTCAACATCAGCGCCATCATAAAAAGCACAGAGGGAGCAGGGTAACATCTGACACTCACAGGCAGTTACACATGTCCAAATCGCTGCGACTGTGCAATTATCATAATATTCCGTTAAGAACAAGTCCCTCGCTCGCCTACTCACCATCTCCTGCCTGGCTTTGGCTGAGGAAACGGTGTAGTTGCTTATAGATTGACAGTGTTCTTTACATGTTTTACTTGTTTGAAGGCCCACAACAGCAAGCTTTTCTCATTATTATGTGGTTGATGGTATCAATGTGAATACAACTTTATTCCACTTTTCTGAAACTTGACTTTTCATTAGTAGAAAGTCCGGTAAGTAAACTGCTTTGATATCATGTTATCAGTTTACATTATACTGATAGTATATATCAGTATACGGTGAAAACCTTCTCTCTCTATTTCAGAAACATGAAACACATCTTCATAAACATTACATAACACCTCCAACCCCCACAAATTCCTCCTTTAAATAGCTCACATGTTGGTGTATCTGCTCTGCTGCAACTTTACCCGTAGTTACGTGGAAAGAGAGGCTAAAAATAACCCTGACTTCTTCCTCCACTCACCGCTGCCCTTCACTGGGGATGTCTGCAGATCCGTTATCATTGAGCTCCTCCTCTGGTTTCGTCTCTCCTTCTTCCAAGGGGGCATCATGCCCTCCATTTCCATTCTGATGGCACTCTTCTTCTTCTTCACCTCCCCCGATCTCGGGCGCCTCTTCCCCTACGTCCTCACGCTGCAATGGTTCTCCTGTTCCTAGCATCAGAGAGTAAATTTGCGAAGGTTAACTCATTTATCTCCCAGATAATCCTGAATCACAATCTCTGACGGACATCCAAAATCTTAAATTGATGAATGCATGTTTATCCCCTTCTAATATTTCATACGTGCAGCTGCATATACTCTACTTTGTTCTGGTGGGGCTGGATCTTCCTGCAGTAGGCCAGTCTGTGCCGGTGTTTCTCCATGCATATCGAGAGGCTTTGCAACCTGCTCCAGTCCCAGTTCCTCCTCGCTTATTCTGGGCCGCTTGGCAGACGAAGGTACCACGTCCTCTGAGGTCACCTCTCCCTCTAAGCGGTCACCTTCGGGCGAAGCTAGTGCCTGATGAGGGGGCTCGCCATCCGCTTCTGCGTCCTGCCCTGCGCCTGCCACTCCACCGCTTTCACCACTTCCAGCCGAGTCAGACATCTCTTCTTTGTTTCTCAAGCTGTCCTGTCAAGTCCTCCACCTGGCGTCCAAATTGCCTCGAGTCAGGTGGTTGGCTGTCAGACGTGGGTGAGGTAAGTGCTGCTAGGATAGTGCTTCTTCCTGCAGTGTGGGTGTTTGAGTCTGCTGGGGGTCGAGGACATCACAGCACCGACTAGCCTAGAAAACAGAGGCGGGCAAAGACGAAGGCATGGGGGGGGACAGGGCGGGTGAGGACAACACCACAAGCAGATGGAGAGCACATATCAAAACAATGCAGAGTATGACGCAGTTTGCAAAAGCCCAAACACATCCGTTTAAGAGAAGTGAACGTGACGTTTCTTGAGAGGAATAAATAACGGGCTCGTGCAAACAATCAACTAACATGTGGCTAGTCGTGACGTGCAAACCAGTCTAGACTAGCATTAATGGTCATTTTTGCTAAATTCACGCTCGCGAGGAATGAAATCACAAACCCGTACACGCCCTGCTCCCATCATATAACTTAAATTAAGTTGGCAAATAAGGCAATATGTTATTAAGAGTCAGTCCATCACAGAAACACGGCAACCACCTCATGATAGCGTTAGCCTATGCTAGCAGTCTGATGCTACCTACCTGTGTTGTGGCCTGCTCGTAGTTTGGCAATACACACTTCTCTCCTCGATGGTGAAAAACGTTCACCGCAAGTCGGAGACTACGAATGATTCACAGAAATATTCGACGACGTTCTTCTTCGGGACTTAAAGTGTTTTTATTCATCAGTTCATTGCGAGAAGTTGTAAACACTGTGGGCGGCCATGTTTCAAAATATCGCGAGAGTTGCGCTGATGACGGTATCGCGCTCGTGTGTTGCTCACAGTCTATTTTCATAAGCACAATTATGTGACGGTTTTGTATAATGTTTACTCATTTTCTTCTTTTGCAGTCTCACACACATTTTACACAGTAAGAAATAATTCAGTCACTGCTAAATGCTATTTATTTAGTATTTATTTTGTTCTTAAAACAAACAAACAAAAAGCCAAACTATTTACACATCTTTCAGTTGTTCTTTTCCTAAACAGTTTCATTACAAGTATGCTGTTCTTTTAACAACATTCAAAGACTTATTAGGCAAAGGAGCTGAGCTGACAGGGATACAAGTTACATTACATCATTCAGGACAATATTGTTGGAACTACAGTTGCCAGAGCTAAAATAAACCAGATGACTTCATCCCGTTAAGTAGACAGGCCGTGACAGGCTCTTTTCTAAGACTGCAACCAAACATCCAGGGCTTTTTGACAACACAAAATTGCGGTTTATCTAATCATAAAAGTATGTGTAGTGCAGTAAAACTAACAACCTCGTTTAAATTGTTTTTTATGACTGACTGACCAACCAACAACTGACACCACGCAATATCAGCTTATAAAAATGTCAAACATAGGTATTTTTAAAGATATTCACCAATAAGAGACTTGATGGTATATTCATGGTTTTGGCAACTGATCACAACAACATTAAACCTCGTAACTTTTTAGCACAATTCAACAGTTATGACATAGTTAGCTGTATCTGGTAACTATCCACCAAAACCTCAGCTAAACAAATTCATAAGTGTATTACCAGTCTAAGCTGAAGATATTCATTGAATATCGGTTGTCCTTTGGATTAAAAACTGCATATTGTTTCAATAGATACAAAAAACTGGTTGACTAAAAGCATTCATCTCTCAAATCCAATTACATATACATACGTGGGACAAGACACTTTCCAAATATTCAGGACATAGAATGTCCTTTGAGATAAAACACAACTGACCGGTCAATTCCTTATCTATTCAGTGATACCAGAAATGTTTAGCAGGCAGCGGCACTACCCGGTGCACTGACAAAGCTGCAGCAATCTTGACCAAGTTGTGACCCCACCTCAAGGTTTAGCGTCAAAACCCACAAATATTACAAATCATGGAAGCTTGCTCTTACAATCATGCTTCCTACAAGCCTGAACGGACATCTCAAAACTGTAAAAAGTACCTAGTTGCTTCCAAGACATTTTAAGTCCTCCCGGAGTGTAAAAAAAACAACCAAAAAGCCCCAACTGGTATCTCGATTTGAGGAGGACCCCGTCACTCTGGTTTAGTTCAGCCTGGAGCGGTATATCCAACAGCGGTTCTCACACAGCAACAAGTCTGTGCTTTAAGTCAATCTGTGCGTCCCAACCCGTCAGCTCAGCTCCAGACAGTACAGACTCCGGCCCTTTATGAAGCCTGCACCTTTAGCAATAATCTAAACAGGAAATCCGAACAAAACCACTCTTCCTTTAAAGGAAACCAAAAGGGCAACAAAAGCTAACCAGCAAAATCAGATTAATCAAAAGACCGCTTGCTGCTCTAATTTGTAGCTAAACAGTAACTTCCATGGTGATCAGACGTACATGTAGCCAATGAATACAGAACAGACCGTCCTGTTTGCAAACAGTAAACAGACTTGTAGAAAGCTCCCATCTTTCTTTCACTTTAGAGGACAGTTAAGGAGGTGGTTTCCAACTTAAATTCGTCATTTAGAGAACACTTTCAGTTCGCCGTTCAGGACTGAACTATACAATTTAAGGCATGTTTAACAGAGAAATAAAGCAAAAACCACTATGAGAGAAAAAAATCAAAAACACAAACATTTACATTATTTACAAAGCTCAGTGTTTATATTGATGAGCGATGATGCGCGCGTGTGTGTGTGTGTGTGTGTGTGTGTGTGTGATTTGATATTGATGCAGCTCCGTTATGTATATGCAGACGTGGTTCCAGAGGAGAGCCACTGTCACTGAGTGTACGTGCGCATGTAGTGTGTCTGCAACCCATTTGAACTCTCGGACCTATGCGACGTGTCGCTACGCGTTTGTGTCGTGTCATGTTTCAAAGTCTGTTTGTACAATTTCTTTATTTAGTTCATCCAGTTCCACAGCTGCAGAGATTTCTGGCGACTTCGATGTAATCCAGCCACGTCCATCGAAACCCAATCCAGCTCTCGAATCTCTTGACGTCTGGGAGAGTCTTCAGTCCCGCTGGTTAGAAGACCTCCACACAACCACCTGAGAGTTTCAGGCCGAGGGGAGGGTGACATCTGGGCAATACGAGCCTCTTTATCCTCTTACTCGCCGTAGAGAGCGCCTGATGAAATCCCAAATCCAACACGTCCAACATAGATGGGGTCCAAGGTTGGTAAACCTGGAACTTCATCTGACTGTCCAGCCGATAATGCCGACGGCGAGACAGAAAAGTTTCTTAGGGTTTAAAGTTCAAATGATAGGTCAAGGGTCAACTGGTTCATGGGTTGGCTGTAGATTAGATCCTCCTTGCAGAGAGCAGCAAATAAAGCACAGCCAGACTCCTGTGAGAAGACAGAAAGAAAAGACTCACCACACTCTCCAAACCACTTAGAAACAGAGTGCCACAAGATTAACCAGGAGCAAATGGATCAAATGAAATGTTCTCAGCCCAACGTGCCAGGAAGAATACCTTACCAATGCCAAAGCTTTTCTCTCCTGCAGTCACTCAAGGCAGTCATCGGGTTGGGAGAAGAGGTGGAAGCCTCCTTGCCAAAAGCTCTTCAAACCCACGTCTGCCTCTTCACTGTGCATGTTGATCAAGCACTCTTTGCGGGCCTCTTTGTAGCGGCCGCGTCATCCATTTTGATAACTGTCAGTCTTGGAGCCATTGTAGCATGTCCAACACCTCAGCCAATGTTTTCTTTTTTTATTCTCTCCCTTCCATCCCCGATTATTTCAGGGTTACTGGCAAACTAAGGGAAACTCACAGCGAGTCCATCTCAAACTATAGTCAAAAAGATTGGTTTTCTTTAAGAACATTCACTCCATATAGTCAACGTCTCATGAATTTTCCTTCATCCATTTGCAAATTTTCTTTCTGCTCTGAAAGATAATACAAAAATATGGTTATATACACAGGAGGTGGGAGAAGACGTGCTTCTTGAGTCTCTTATTTCAGTTTGGGAATATCTTTTTCAGCGACTTTGTCAAAGTCGTAGCAATCCTCCTGTTGTAATTTGTGCTCCCATCCCCAAAATGGTACCTCACAGCTTGAATGAACAAAAGTGCATAGGTGAGTTGGTGAGTGGGCAGGGTGTGAGTGCTTCTGAGGGTTGGGGTGAAGACGAGTGCACTAACCGGGTGTACTCGTATCACCCTCTCAGTTCCCTCGAGGGTTATGCAGCCCTGCACTCCAGTCTCCACAAAAACGGAGCCCGTCCTTGATTTTCCCGCCTCCGCTCCGCGGGTTGATCATCAAGGATCCTCAACTACACACAAAAGGTGCAGTTAGAGGACCGTGTCCATGTTCTTGTGATACCTGCCACTCTTCCTCAAAAAAAAAAAAAAAAAAAAACACAAAAGAAAACACCACTCAATGTCCATATGGCAGAAGCGCACTTGCAAACCCCACCCGTCTTATGTGGGGAAAAAAAAGAAATGAAAATAAAAACTGCACCCACAGAAATATCCATGTGGTTTGTAAACAACCAAAGCTCCAGTATGGAATAGAAAGAGTCCTTTCTTTTAATTCTTAGTCACTATTTGTACGACCAGGATTGTAGAGGCAGTGTGTTCAACTGTATCCATCCCGAGCTCTTTTTTTCTCCTCTTCTTCTTCACTGTGTAAATGTTTAAAAAAAAAAAAAAAAAAGTTCTCGCTAAATTCTTTGAAGCTTTTTTGTATTTTGTTTCCATTTTTGAAATCTTCTGAGGAAAAAAAATAAAATTCTGGTATCAGCACGGGTTTCTTGTCATTTTTTTGGAATACATTCAATATTTTCTTAAGAAGTAATACACACACTTCACATGGCGATAATGAAACAAAAATTAAGGAAAAAAAATAAAAAATTGAAACACAACAAAAAAATAGCAGCCCCAAGTGCTCGTTATCTTAGTCCAAATACTTTTTAAACTTTGTATATAATGTATATATCCATATATATTTTTCATTAAAAAAAGAAAACTCGTCATTATCAAATTGCAACAACGAATAAGTAACACAATATGCTAACATTTCATGCACCGTTCTGTGCACTCGCACATTAAGATGCTGTTTTGTATTTTTTTCAGAGTCAGCAACTCGACACCTTTCATTCACAAGTTCGAGAGCTGACAAAAGGCAACGTGATCACACCCCAGGACGACAGACTGGACTAACCTTCCGATGGATCACCCCTAGACTGAATTAGAAATATTTACG